TAAGCTCACAAAGCTAGTTACTGTCAGAGCTCAAATCAAAGCCCAAAGTTCCTTCCAACCCAGTGTTCTTTTAAAGATGTCATCTACCACAAATTGATTTCTCTGTTTGAAGATAAAATCTGTATTAAATCCCTTGATGGGATTTAAAATACTTAAACTGACCATTCATTTAAGGAAAAAGAAATAGTCAAAGAAACATTGAGATTTGTCTAATACTAGGTTTGGAACTGTGCATAATAGTTTTATCTATATCACATGGTTTGATTTTTAAAGAACAGTATAATGCTCCCTCCGCCCCCAAAGACTATTCTGTTGGAGTCCCAGACTTTGAGGACACCCTGCTACTGATTCATTGTGTGACTTTGAAGAATTATTTCCATTATAAACCTCAATATGCAAATTTCTTGGGGGCAGGAATGGCAGGAACAGGGGAGAAGGGAGGGAGACAGGTGGAATAGAATCAATTAGGACTCTTCCAGATCTAGGTGCATAATTTTTTTATTAGTTTAAGGAAACGTCTACATGCCTGAAAGATGTTTTCACAACTTACAGGGTTGTGAAAACACACACACATGCACACACGTGCACACACTCACACACAGGTTGAAAGGTAAAAGTGTTTATTAATTGAACTAAACATCCTCTCCTTTAAGAACTATTGGAAAGATGTTTTCTTTGGTACCTTCTGCAGCATGGCCTATAGGGCAAGGTCTCTTTCTAGAGAAGAAACTAGCTTGAGAAAATGCCCTTTCAAAGTGTGCCCACCTCTCAAAAAAGATACATTCTAAACTTATCCAATAATGTGGTTTTTGTTATTTTGTTTTTTCCAAGAGCATCAGGGTGGTATGGTTAAAGCAACAGGAATCTGAAAGAAACTGCATTCGCTTTTTAGCTTTGAGTCATACTGTGTGTCCCTGGGTAGGTTCCTGAATGGTTCTAAGCTTGTCTTTTCAATAGTAACATGTAAATGTTTACCAGTATCACATGGGGTTCTTAAGAGAGTTTTGGAATAGCCATTTCCTTCTGGAATTTGAGTTTGAGAAGGGCTGGTCTGGAATAGCAAATAGCAGTAATTTCTAGAAGCATTCGTAGAAATCACAGAATGTTAGAGCAATGATCTCATAGCCTCCCTAAATTTTATAGATGAGTTTTTACTGGTGCTCAGAGAATATGAGATTCACTCATCGTCAAAGAGTAAGTTAGGAAACCCAACTGATTGGTGGCCCAGAGTCAGCTGTGAGAGGAACCATCAAAAGGCCTCTCTGCATAAGTTGGGTTTTTGTTTATTTTTGCTTTTTTAAAAGTCTATTACTTTCTAAGCTTTCTATAAGAAATATGCATAACAATTTTCAAAATTCAATTTTTTCAAATAAATTACTTTATCAATGAATGAGAAATAAAAAATGGAGAAAAATCACCTAATGTACAGTATCAGAGACCACACACACACACACACACACACACACACACACACACGCACAATGCCTCTGTTTGTACCAAGAAGCCAACCTCAGCCAACATTTCATTAAGTCTTCTTTTGGAAGAAAGATGCTGCTTTACAATTGGGATCTTACTCTAGCGATTAGGAAACAGATGAGCAAGTCTCTCTGTATAGGATTTTTTTAGGGCTACTGTTGATTGAAGTATAATTTTCTTCTCTACTGTTGAGAAATGATCTCTTAAGAAAACAAAAAGTGGGTATGATTTCAGGTTCTCAGTCCGTGACAGCTTTCCCAATTTAAATCTGTCTCCTCCTCTCAATACAAATAACAACACAATATACGCAAAGTGTCTATGAAAAAAAGTGCGAATCATTAGCATGAAAGAACCAGGGTCATCCCAAGTCACAGACTGAGAATGCAGAAATCGTTTTCCCCTTTCACTTGGCCTCACAGGAGTCTTGTCAACCAGCACTTCTTGCTTGTACCAGACGAGTAATGATCTCCTCCTGGTCAGTAACTGCGACATTCGTTGCCCTCACTCACAGTAAGGACAGCTCTGACAAACCATTCTCACACACAGATACCTTTTCAAGGCTGATTTTCGGTCATTGTTCCCTCTCCATTTCTGAGAAAACGGATCAACATAGCCAATCTGTGCCTGTTAACCCCTACATGGGAGCATCTCTCTAAGGAAGACCCTATGATACACTATAAGTATTGTTGATTGACCATCCGCATTAGTTTGACCAGACTGTTCTGTCTTACACCCTATGCATAGTTTTAAGAGCAGCACCTTGCACTCCCCAATGTCCCAAGTTGAGTGGCACATTAGATAGTCACCCTATCATTCACACACAGTATGTAAAATGCTAGACCTAGAACTTGAGATAAATTTCAGGAGCTATTTACATTCTTGCCTCATCTTCCTTGTGCACTAAAAGTCCAGAATAAAAAAAAAAAAAAAAACAGAATATTTGTAGACTCAAATCCCCCCAAAGTGGTCTAAAGCAATCTAAGTAGGAATTCGTTTTAAGATGAACCCATTCTCGACAACTAGGTAGCCCAAATCATACAGCATAAGGATAAGGTAATTCTTTGCAAAAATTAGCCAGTCTAGCCCTAGCCGTTTCGCTCAGTGAATAGAGCATCAGCCTGTGGACCAAAGGGTCTTAGTTCCATTCCAGTCAAGGGCACATGCCTGGGTTGCAGGATCCTCCCTGGCCTGAGCCCTGGTCAGGGCACGCACAAGAGACAACCAATCAATGTGTTTCTCATACATCAATATTTCTCTTTGTCTTTCCCTCTCTCTTTCATTCTCTATAAGAAATCAATGGAAAAATATCCTCAGGTGAGGATTTAAAAAACCCAAAAACTAGCCAGTCTATTGATACTTGTTGGGAGTTATGCCTCCTCTAGTTATTAATCTAAAACAATTTCATGAAATGGAAGTAGGTGCCAATTTTCTCTAAGCCTATATATTTCTATCTTTGCCGATGGCAAGACTATTCACTTAGTCACCTTAGCCAGAAACCATAGGATCAAATTTAATTTTCTCTCTTCACTCTGTCAAATTAGTTACTAAGTCCCATTGACTATTTTTTATTTTATTTACTTTTATTTTTAATTGAATTTATTGGGATGACATTGGTTTGCAAAACCATATAGGTTTCAAATGTACAACTCAATAAAATATCTTCTTCACACTGCACTGTGTGTCCATCTCTCCAAGCAAAGTCTCTTTCTGTCCCCATATTCCCCCACTTTGCCCACCTTCACCTTATCCCCACCCGCTTTCTCTCTGGCTATCACCACTCTGTTGTCTGTGTCTTCATGTGATATGCATGTTTTTTTGCTTAATCTCTTCACCTTCTTTCATCCAGCTCCCTAACCCCCCTCTCCTCTGACAGTTGTCAGTCTGTTCCTTGTTTCTATTTTGTTCATCAGTTTATTTTGTTCATTATATTCCATATATAAGTGAGATTATAAGATATTTGTCTCTCTCTGACTGGCTTATTTCAGTTTACATAATTATCTCCAGGTTCATCCATGCTGTTGCAAAAGGTAAAATTTCCTTTTTTTTTTTTAATGGCCGAGTAATATTCCATTGACTATTTTTAAAGTCTCTGGAATTCGTTACCCACAAACATTTCATCAGAACACTATTTCCAATTCTTGATTGTTAAAATACCCTTCCTCTACTTTCTATTCTTCTCCAATTCATTCATCTCCCTCACTTCTGCCAGAATTATCTTAAATAAAACAATTTCTTCAGTCCACTACTGGCTCAGAACCCTCTGAAAATATACAGATCTCTTCTCACGGTACTCAAGGCCTTTATTAATTGCACTCAAACTCCACTTTCCATCCCCAATTCCAACCACACTCCCCATTAAGCACATACTACTCAATGGTTCTCATTCAAAGATGGTACTGCTTTCCTAGGTGTCTGGAAACGTTTGGGGACATTTTTGCTTGTCATAGTAATTTGAGGGCACACAAGACATTTAATGAGCAGGGACTAAGGACAACAAAGGTCCAGCAATGTAGGACAAGGTGCTTTACCAACATGCCGAACACATTATTTTTACCTGTGTGGTTCCCTCTTCCTAGAATCTACTTAACCTCCCCCCCACTAGTTCTGCCTCTGTCCAAAATAATATTATAGTTGGATGATACAATTCAAACTCTCTTCTTATCCAAAGAGCTCAGCTAGTTTAATAGTCATATACACAGTGTGTTAATGGGAGATCATTAAGTCACTCCCATAGCACACTGGTTGCCTGCTGATTAGCACAGTGTATTAAATTATGATCAAACTTCTTACCCACCTTTCATTTCACTCCATGTTCCCCTTATCCCCTCTATTCCCTAGAATTTGAACTTCTTTAAGAAATGGATGTTCCTTTGATATCTCATTAGTTTTTTAAACTCTAATTTATACCATTTTTATAGTATTCTATGAATGACTTTTGGATTAAAAGATGAAACATTGCACCTGCATTCCCATATAAGTATGTAAAAATGCCATTTCTTAATAATCTTTCTTTTGTACTTGTTAAAGTTAGAATACTTTAAAGTAAATGAAATATTTTAGTTATATCTTTTATCAGTAATGGTGCTTTACAGAACTTCAAAATGAATGTATTAAATTAACATTAGACTAAATAAGGTATTACAAACTCAGGCAAAAGAGGGAAAATAAGCTACAAATACTGTGGGGTAAACTGGAAAAAATGTTCCCAGTAAAAAAAAGATATTTAAGTTCCTTTTCTTCTTTTTATTAAATGCTCCATAAGCCTTACAAAGACCTGCCTAATCAGCTTATGTATTGAGATGACTGTTATAATTACTTAGATAATCTTTAAAAAGTGTGTGCAATATATTTCTCCACAAAAGATATATGTAAAGTGTTCTTACCTCACCCCAATTTTGAAGTTTACATTATTTCATTAATATTTGCATATTAAAGATATATCCTTGTTGTAGTAAAAAATTTCAACTTAACCTCCCTAAGTTGCATAAACAGTAAAAGAGGGTAGACCAAAATCAACTACTCACGTGCACATCTGTTCATATCTGGGGCTCGGTGTCCATAGTAGCCTGATGGGCAGGACTGCAGGCACTCTCCATACTGGCGCATGCCTTCTCTTCGAAGAAAGAAGAACAACTTCTGTTGACATCGGCTGCACCCATTGTCCTTTGAACAAGACAAGCAACCCTTGCAAGTGGGATTTGATACATAACTAGCTGTAAAAGAAAAAAAAAAACACCAGAAAGCATGTTTAAGTGTAAATTGGATGAGGCTGGTCAATACGATATGCTGTGTAGACAAGTATCTCTTGTTCCTTTATTTTCATCACATAGAAAATTCAAACAAAATAACCTCTGCGACTCCCAAGAAAATGACTAGTGCACAGCCAAAGTTAGAAACAGAGAGGAAACTCAGAGTCGTGCCCAGAAGTTCAAACTGACTGGCTTGTGGAGATGTTAGACCAGACAGAGGAAGACCTCATGGCAAGGTCCTTAATCCAGACCAAGAAATGTGCACATGAAGAGCTGGGGTTGTGAGGGCTGTTTATCCATGAAACAATCCTAGAAGCTCCCACTCCAACTGGCCAGAGAAGAAGATTCCAACCCTGGATTAGGGGCACTTCGAGGGTGAGCAGACAAGAGGGAAAATGTAACCCATGAGAAATAAGTACCCACATCTGCAAGACATCCAAGAGTGGGCTCCAAGCCCAAATGATCGATGTAGTATGGAGCGCCCAAGTCAAGAGGTTAGCATATAAACTTGTCCAAATCTAATAAACTCACACAAAAAAAGAGAAAAGGAAGAAGAACGAAATCTGAAACTACCTTAAATTTTTTACAATCCTGAGACCTGGGGCTTTCATGGAAAAACCACCTTAACAAAATGAACAAGTCACACATACAGGCAAACTGCTGTGAGATAGAGTCATCAGTCTTGGTGAGAGAGAGATTTCACCCCTAAAGAGTCAGACGAGTTAGGCTAGGCCTACAGGTCTGTGGTGAGCCGCGACCATGGGTCTCTCTTCTGCAGGATGGGGTTTGTGAAAGTTGTCAAGAATAAGGCCTACTGCCCTAACCGGTTTGGCTCAGAGGATAGAGCGTCGGCCTGCAGACTCAAGGGTCCCAGGTTCGATTCCAGTCAAGGGCATGTACCTGGGTTGTGGGCACATCCCCAGTAGGGAGTGTGCAGGAGGCAGCTGATCGATGTTTCTCTCTCATCGATGTTACTCTCTCATCGATGTTTCTCTCTATCCCTCTCCCTTCCTCTCTGTAAAAAATCAATAAAATATATTAAAAATAAATAAAGTAGCTTTCAGAGCATTTAAAAAAATATAATAAGGCCTACTTTGAGAGATACCAAGTGAAATTCAGAAGATGATGAGAGGGTAAAACTGATTACTATGCCCAGAAACACTTGGTAGTCCAGGATAAAAATAAATACAGGATGATAGTTCGTGTAACCAACAGAGATATCACTGTCATATTGCTTATGCTTGTATAAAAGGAGATATGATAGTTTGTGCAGCTTATGCTCATGAACTCCCAAAGTATGGTGTGAAGGCTGGCCTGACAAGTTATGCTGCAGCGTATTATACTGGCCTGCTGCTGGCCTGCAGGCTTCTCAATAGGTTTGGCCTGGGCAAGCTCTATGAAGGCCAGGTGGAGGTGACTAGACATGAATACAGCGTGGAAAGCATTGATGGTCAACCTGGTGCCTTCACCTGCTATTTGGATGCAGGGCTTGCCAGAACTACTACTGGAAATAAAGTTTTTGGGAGCTGTGGATGGAGGCCTATCTATCTCCCACATTACCAAACAATTCCTTGGTTATGATTCAGAAAGCAAGGAATTCAATGCAGAACTATATTGGAAGCACATCATGGGTCAAAATGTTGCAGATTATATGCGTTATCTAATGGAAGAAGATGAAGATGCTTACAAGAAACAGTTCTCTCCATACATAAAGAACAACATAACTCCAGACATGATGGAAGAGATGTATAAGAAAGCTCATGCTGCTATATGAGAGAATCCAGTCTATGAGAAGAAGCCTAAGAAAGAAATTAAAAAGAAGAGGTGGAACCATCCCAAAATGTCTCTTGCCCAGAAGAAAGATCGGGTAGCTCAGAAGAAAGCAAGCTTCCTCAGAGCTCAGGAACGGGCTTCTGAGAGCTGATAAACCAAATCACAATTTTCTACGAAGATTTTTCAGAGAGACAATAAACTTATTAGGCAAACAGCAAAAAAAAAAGAGTCAGAAATAACAGAACAATCTAAAAAAGACTTTTAAATGAGTATCTTTAGGATATTTGAAGAGATAAAATAAGGACTGGAAATCACAGAATATCATAAAATAATGTGCAAAAATTAGAAAGTGATGAAAACTCTAGAGCTGACAGATTAAATGGCAAAGTAGAAGAGAGGGAGCTAACTGGAAAACATGTTTAAAGAACTGAAGCACACAACAAAATAAAGGCAGAAATGTAAAAAGGGTGAGACACATGAAAGAAAAAAAAATGGTAAAGCTCCAAAACATGATTACTTGGTATTGCAAAATCAAATAAAGAGAATAAGACATAATATTCAAAATGATCATGGCCAATTAGTTTCCAGAATTAAAGAAATACATGAATTACTCAATGGTAAAATCAGAGCTCTGGGCAGATCAGCAAACGTAAGTTGGCGTCTGAACGTAGCCTATTCATATTTAAAGACGGAAATCAAACCAGAGGGAACAGATTACCTAGAAACGAATAAAAATTCACTCTTAGGAGACTCCTCATTAGAAACAATGTTAGGTAGGTAGTGGAATCTTATCTGCAACAGGCTGGGGGAAAATTCTCAAACTATAATTCTATAAGCAGTTAAATGATAGTGGAAGAATGAGGCCAAAATAAAGGCAAAGAACTTATTAATCAGAAACTCTCACTAAAAGGACTAATAAGCTGTATACATTGGGGAAACTAAAATGGAACCCAGAAGGAAGTAGACTGTAATAATCAATAATGATCAAACCACTTGAGAAAAATGGTGGTGTACCTATAAAAGTATCAATTTCAAAAACAATGATTAAGCCTCTGGGTTTAAAAGTAATACATGTTTTATATTCAACAGCAATAGAATGGAAGACTTGAGGGAAGCCAAAGTTAAAGCACTTAAAGTTTCTGTTATTATGAGTGAGGAAGACCAATATAAATTAAACTTTGTAAAATTAAATGTACTTGCTAAAACTCCAAATAGCAAGTACAAAAAGAATAATGCATCACTTATAAACCAGGGATGGCTACAGATATAATAAATGTATAAAAACGAGTAGGAAGTAACAATCCAAATGTCTGTAAACATTTGATAAATTGTGGTATCTATATATAGAAAAGCCCAGCGACTGAACGGCAGAATGACTAGAACGACTGGTCGACCAGTTGCTATGATGTGCACTGACCACCAGGGGGCAGACGCACAACGCAGCACCACTTGGCTGGTCAGGATAAGCGGTGCTCCCACAGGAGGCCAATCCCCGCAGGCCACGCCCCCACCAGTGCACAAATCTGTGCACCGGGCCTCTAGTATTCTTAATATGAATTTTAATGATATAAAGGATTAAACTATCAGTATAACCACAAACATAAATGAAATAATGAAATTCATATGCATTTTGTGGAGCAAAAGAAGCCAGACCAAAAGGAAAAATAAGTGTTTGTTCTAATAATTCTATTTATATTGATATCAAGGGCCCATAAAGCTAATCCATGGTGACTAATGCCTTTGAGGATTGGGGACTAACTGGAAAGGGCTATGGTGGGATTTTTGGTAGGTATATTAGTTTGCTAAAGCTGCCTTCACAAATTACCACAATGTGCGGCTTCATCAACAGGAATTTATTCTCTCGGTCCTGTAGACTGGAAGTCTGAAATCAAGGTGTCAGCAGGGACAGATTCCTCCAAGGGCCCCCGGAAAGGACTCCTTGCCTCTTCTGGTGGCCCCGGGCATTCCTTGGCTTGTGGCAGCATCATTCCAGTCTCTGCCTCCATCTTCACATGTGCCTTCCCTACATAACTGTATGTATCCTTTCCTGTTTCCCACCTGGACCTAGTATGATCTCATACTCATCTTTACCTTCACTATATTTGCAAAGCCACTGTCTTCAAATAAGGGCACATTCTGAGGTTCCAGGTGGACGTGAATTAAGGGCTGGGGGACTATTTTACCCACTGCAGGAGGTAATGGAAATGTTCTAATCTTGATTAGATATAGGTAAAAAACATGTATACAGGCTATGGAAAAAGTAGGTAAAAGAAAAAACAGTTTATTCTTGTATCATTATTTATTCACTATTGTATTATTTCTCATATAAAGAACTTTAAACTTACTTTTGCCCCATCCTGTATTTGCAAAACTCAGCAAAATGTGCATTTAAGACCTATGCATTTTTATAAATAATGTGTATAATTTATAAGTAAATTATAATACAATATGTTATATACAATAACTTTAACGATAATGTAGTTACTTATAATTTCATTACATTTGAAGATTCATAAACTATATTGAATTCTCACCTAATGTTTATTTTTATGTTGTTTTTTAAAACACACACACACAAAACAAAACAGAAAGGTCTTATTGGAGGGATTATGTGGATAGTACTACCAGTAAGTAAGTGTAGAAATAGCATCTGGTAATTGATATATGAGCTTTAGGAAGTTCACTACACCTAGTAATTGAAAAAGAAACAAAATACTGTTTCTAGTCCTGATATAAAATTCAGAAATGATACAACTTAAAATCCCAGTATAATTTCTAAAATGTAAAAAATTTACATAATTTTAGTTATTACTATACCAAGCAAGGTCATAAATATAACAAGATCTATAATGTCACAGTGACTTCATTTTATTGGGTTAACCTACAAAAGAAAGACATAAGAGAAGGAATAGAAAACTCATCCATTATTGAAACTTTTAGCTTTGAGACTACATTCTATTTGCTCTACATATAATCTTTATTACATTAAAAAAATATATCAAGCAATAAGTATTCATACTAGCAGCAATACAACAAAATACACTGTATACCACACACTTCCTTTTCTTATAAGGATTCAACATTCAATCTACCTCTAGCTACTTGTAGCAAATCCATATAGACTGCAGTTTCATAAGATGCTCTCCCCCCTTTGACCTTGATTTGGCCTTATAGCCTCTCTTCCAGGGAGA